TGGGACACACCAAAGCTCCACCGACCATAAATTATTGTCTCGGCATCACTGCCGCTGGGTATGTGCAGCAGTGGTGCAGAATATAGCAGATGAGACTCGGATGGTAGACGAGTCAGGGAGGGAAACGGTTTCTCTGGATCTAATCAGCACGTGTATTTCAAACGGACTGGTGCTTGACGTGAGGCATCGGACAGCATGATCCATAGTTTGTATAGTTCTACAACTGGAACCAAGACTTACAGCTTGCCCCTTGCATCCTGGACGGCATGTCCGCTGATACTCATCACCGGTGTCTGCCGGTTTCTTGTGATCAACTGCAGAATGGCGGATAGAAGGCATACAGTAGAGTATATAACGTTATGTACTAACAATCCAACCGACCACACAACATCATGTCCTGGCCGGGGTACATTGAGACCACACAACATCATGTCCTAGCCGGGGTACATTGAGGCCGCACAACATCATGTCCTAGCCGGGGTACATTGAGACCACACAACATCATGTCCTAGCCGGGGTACATTGAGGCCGCACAACATCATGTCCTAGCCGGGGTACATTGAGACCACACAACATCATGTCCTAGCCGGGGTACATTGAGGCCGCACAACATCATGTCCTAGCCGGGGTACATTGAGACCACACAACATCATGTCCTAGCCGGGGTACATTGAGACCACACAACATCATGTCCTAGCCGGGGTACATTGAGACCACACAACATCATGTCCTAGCCGGGGTACATTGAGACCACACAACATCATGTCCTATCCGGGGTACATTGAGACCACACAGTACTAGAGGATCACCAAAGTGAATATGTCTCACATCCCTGTAACATATTGGGTGCGGAAACTAGCCTTGGAAGTATCACGAAATGGTTGCTGGGTTTAATAATCCTAAAAGACCTAGCCTGATTCCCGTTGTTGGTTGGCGATGTTTAGAACCACACTATGAACACTATAGTATAGACGATAGACGGCAAGATAATCTCCCCGTGTATCAACAACTCATTGCAGGAATAGTGTGCCATAAGTGACCACCTATGCTGTATAGAAGCCCGGCCTCCAAACATGTAGTATTTCCTAGCTACGTGCAGCGGTCTGCCAATGCAGGTCAACGTTTCCGTGATACATGGCCCCGGGATTGAAAACACCTATCTCTCAAAACAGGTGGGCTCTTACCCCAGTGGTCACTTAACAGAGGTGGCCTCTCATCACAGGTTCTACTGTAGCCAATACTGTAAGACCAGATATTTTTAACGTCCATTAAAGTTAACGATCTCCGGATTTGTGTGGGTTAGCGAGGTGAAACGCTAACAAATTCTGTCTCCAAACCGGCAAATGACTGTACATGTACATATCGTTTTCTACATAACGACTTCAAATGTTAGAATTAAATGTTCGTTAACATTACTGGTCCTACAGTCCATGACTGCACTTACGTGTTATTTCCTGTGACAGTGCCCCTGCCACCAAGACCACCAATAGATACACTCTGCAAGCACAGATAAGATGATGAGATTGGACCACACTTTATGCATTGCCGTAGCCTGACAATAAAGGGCACGGTGGCAGTACATGCGTACATGTACCCGCCGCAAAGAACAAAGCAATGGCACTGTGAATACTCTCAGTGCATGGGTGGGATGCACAAAAACAGCGCGGTCACTGTTGTTCAGCCAGATTCTTACTTTGTTTCGCGTACTCGTAAAAAAGGACGTAACCAGTTACCTTACGAGCAGGGTGCATTGGGCACTTGTCTAGTGAGCACTCCAGTGTGTGTGTGGGGGGGGGGGGGGGGGGGTAGGCATTTCCCAAATCGGCCCGATTTTTTCGCCTAATCAGCTTTTCGATCGGCTAGGAGAATGTCCAAATTTGGCCATGTTATGATCCCCAAATTCAGAATTCGGCTCAAAGTGGTACTTCAAGTCCCAATTCGGTTCAATTATCCGCGATTTCTTGACAGCCATTGATTTCGGCGTCTTTTCCTGCTGACCATTTTCGGAAATGCCTAAAGTCGCAGTCTCCTTTCGCAGATAATGGCTACAAAATTGTATTTGTATGCTGTTGAGGCACCAAAACATCGATTTTCGGCGAATTCAGTGGGAAAATTGTGTATTCGGCGAAAAGATCGGTGATTTCTTCAAAACCACTGTTTTCGGCATTGGCTGGCCGATTTGGGAAATGCCTGGGGGGGGGGGGGGGGTGGTGCATGCATGCGACGTGCGTCGTGTTATCCTTTTTGCGCATGAGGCAAGATAATGCACTTAGTCTTTACTCTATTGTGGTGACTACATTCTTCCTATCCCAGCCCCATCTCCTATTGCACACTTCTGGTACGGGTCTGCCGGAATAGGTCCGGTTGGTCAGGTTATCACCGGACCAACATTTTGGCCCACCAACACGGCAACAGTACGTGTTCCTACTGTGGAGGGCATGTGTACCCGCCATATCAAACACAAACTGTACAAAAGGCTAGGATACTACCGGCCCCGGGACCACTCAAAAACATGTTCCGGCGGTTCTGTGGTACATGCACACAGTCTTGATTGATTGATTTTATTTGGATTCGCGAGACCAAACGAGCAGGAGTGCTCAATAACAGGGTAGCGAATGGTTGAGTTGTGCTATGTGACAATGTAGTGTGTGCGTGGAGGGGGGGGGGGGGGGGGGGGAGCTGCGGAGGCCCAATACAATGTAAGGGGATGGGAGGAGAGAAGGCCAGCGGAGAGTCAAATTCAGAAGAGGGAGGAGAGAATAGCTGAAGTACACGGTTACTGAGCGAATTCAAATAAACCAAACAAACAGCAAAACAAGTACACAGCTCACGAGAATAAAGAGGACTGGAGCACAGAATTGAACTGCTGATGTACACAGCTGACGAGAATAAAGACAGGAGCACAGAAATGAACGGGAGGCAGTCTACGAAGTGGTGGTACCATCGGTGCATGCACCACGGTACATTACCATATTATCGGCGCGGCTTTGCAAAGTTCGTGGGTACTGAATACCATGGTGTGACCAATTGTGTAGCAGTCTACAACGTGTAGGGAATGGCAGCTCGGCGGAATGCTGGGATGTTGCCCATGGCTCGCACTGTGTCAGGTATATGGTTCCATAACAGGCAACCGCGAGATGCCGGTCGGCATTGGCCTGCTCGGCTTCTGGCTATTGGTTGTTGCAGGCCCAGACTGCGCTGAAGGCGAGTTGCTCCGCAGTTGCTGACAAACAGTGCCTGCAGAGCAGGACTGGCACGGTTATGAACGCACCGCCATACCAGCACGAGCAGTTTCTGGCGATATACCTCGTCCACGCGATAAACAGAGAGCCTCTCCAAGAGGTCACTGGCCCTGGTAAATCGTGGTCGTCCGAACACCGCCCTTGCTGCGCGGTTTTGGGCCACCTGCAAGCGGTTTAGCTGGTTGTGGGTCAAGCCAGAGCCATAGGCGGACGATCCATATATCAAATCCGGCATGATGACAGATAGGAAGTACTTTCTTCGACTAGCTAGAGTGAGGCAACGTCGCGCCCGCCACAGACTACCAATCTTCCTAGCAGTGCGTGAGATGCACCGGTCAACTTGCGGTTGCCAGGCCATTCGTTCATCGATCAAGATGCCGAGGTATTTCGCGCTGGTGGTGTGCGGAAGGACATCATTTCGACAGCGTACAACCACATCCGGCTGCTGCCCACTGCTGCTGGTAAAAACCAATACATTGCTCTTCTTTGCATTTAGTACAAGACCACGAGCGTCCAGCCAACTTGAGAGGGAGGTAACCGCCAAGCTGAGCGCATCAGACACCTCTTGCGCTGTCCGTCTTGCACATGTCAGGGCGATGTCGTCCGCAAACTGCAGTGATGATGCCGGCGCAGATTCAGAGGGGACATCTCTAGTGTATATGGAGAACAGCATGGGTCCTAGTACAGAGCCCTGCGGCACCTCTTGGCTGCACTTGTGGATCTCCATGGGAAGCCATTTTGAAAAAGAATGGCAAATTCCCACACTACCCCCACAGCTAACCAGACCTGCCAAGAGAATGGTTTACTGCACCATGCCACAGTTCGACTGATGTGATATCAACCGATCACATGCACAGTGGAGATTGGGTCTGTATCTGAGCTGAGCTCAGACACAATACCTATACTGTACCTACGGTGGAATAGCAAAATGGCCCCAGCCATTGTACATGTGCTAGCTAGCTTTCGTGGAAAGTCTAGACACAGTTTGCTTTTTGATGGACAGCATTATTACTGCCCATTGCTACCCGTGATTGTTTGGCAGTGCATTGCTCTGGCCCCATGGACCAGAGTGTTAGAGCAGCCCGCTCTAACACTTTCACAGATGACGGACATGATCATAAACATCGGGTAAGCTACTTCACACAATGATCACGAATGAAGGCCGAGCTTATGTGAGCTGAAACTAGTGAAAGCCTGAAACATGAAAGGTAAAGTACCGGCATGGGTATAAATCCGAAAAAAACTTTACCTCATCATGTTGCTCTGTGAGTTGTGCTCCTCTCGCTGTGAACACGACCGACCACCTTTCTCGTCGAGTAGTTGTAGATTCACGCAGTCGTTCAGCCCTAGCTAGGAGCAATGCGGAAGGCTTGGAGGTACTTACTTCGTCGCTATTCGAGGCTGATGTAGCCAGCAATTGCTTCACTGCTCTCTCCTTGTGAAGTTAGTTAGTTCTGTCATCGCTAGAGAAACGATCTTCGCGGAGATTATCCGGGGCTGGTATGCATATCCCTGGTGTGCGGCCACGATTGAGATAGCTTTGCTTGAAATCGACTGGCTTCTGACAAATCTGGCACAGTCTCACGTGGACAGGACTGTCACCTAAATCCTTTGACTGGCCGCCGACCAGCCAGCACCATGTAGCCCCAGGCACTCTTTGCGTTTGCATTGGAATACTCGATTGAGTCGATACAGACTTGATTATCTAGTCTGGCCAAAGGCAAAACGCCAGAATTCCCAGTCCCAGGCGCACTTGCAGTAGCACACACGTTGCACTTGAAATAACAGGCTCAGTTGCATTCCCTTGACGCTCTGTACTGTCTGCGGTTGATCGTCTCAGCAAATCCTGATGTCCGTACAACAATACGACGTATACATGCAAATGGTCGTCTCTACAGCAACTACATGTAACTAAAAAAAGTACTGTACAAGTACAGTGCTGGCAACTGTAATCCGACTCCCTAGCGTCTCGTACGAATCGCCTACGCGGCTAGCGCACGGCTAGTCGCCGGCTAGGCTAGGGGCGTCGGATTTCAGTTGCCAGCACTGTAGTCATGGTAGTTGTAGGTAGTGAGTTGTTCAGCTGGTTACCATGGTTACTTTATGATGCTAGCAAACTCTTCCGTTCGATGTAGACCTACCCGTCTTCCGTGATCATGGTGATTCTCGCGGCTCGGCAGCTCCGGCCCTGAGACTTCCGCTACCCGCTTTAAAGTGCTTTCCTGCAAAGCGGTCGACCATATACTCCATAGTCGACGACGGTGGGTCGACTGTGTACTACTATGGTATGGTAAGGATGACTCAGATGATCTTGTGAGAGGAAGAGCTGTAGTGTAGAGAGCACAGCACGAGGACTTGGCTAAAATAGTGAGTCTTTCCCTTGCCTTGGCGTTCAAGTGGAGAGGGAGTTAGTTGTCGCGACCTTGGTCGGAAGTAACAGTTGAGATTGCTAGATCTGGTATCCCTTTGTCCTCTGTGAAATGGCGAGAGCTTCCAACGAGCATATCGCATTTCCTGCCTGCATCGTTGTACCAGCGCGGCTTTGACTTCTGAGCGGTTGACAGAAGCTCTATTCTTGAAAGTCATGCGTCGAAGCCCATCAAGCGCCGGGAAGAGAAAGTGTATTCCATCCGGGAGAAATAAAAAAGGAAAGAGGTCCTCCTGTAGCCTCTCCACCTTTGTTCGTACTCAGTCTCCGCACTTCTAGTTCTACATAATACAGTGGTCCCTCCATAATCCGGCACCATTTGTGCCACGGAAAATCTGCTGGATTAGGGAGGGTGCTGGATTAAAATCGGATTTACTGCTGCAATATGCAATGTGCATGAAGAGGGCATTTTGGCTACTGAAAATTGTGCTGGTTTATCGAGGGTGCTGGTTTATAAAGTGCTGGATTAAAGAGGGACGACTGTACACGATTGTACATGCAGCTGTTTCGACCTTGTTTTAAAAGTCATACCAAGAGTTCATATGAACTCTTGGTCATACCAGCAGAGCTCAGAGTGACAGGCCCAACCAATCATTATCTAGACTGAACAACAAAACAATTATTTGTTGGCTCAAAACATCAAAGTCAGAGTGCTCTAACTCAGTAAACACAGCTAGCTTTACACGAGGGCAGATAACTTTGACGCTAACCAGAAAGAGTACAGTAGATCTACTGAACCAAGCCGAGCATGTGGTTGTAGAACTGAACTATTATCACAATCATCACTGGCTTTCGCTATTACCGCCCCAAAAAGGTGTGAAGGGGAGCACCCGAAGTCCAAGGGACATCAAATGCAGCGTTAAAGCTTGTCGTGAAAATAGCAGTCTCTGACTCTCAGATCATCACTCTCGATTCTAGCTCTGCGAAGGCCATGACTATGCCGAAAAACTGCAGGCTTGCATGTGGATTCTCAAGGCAGTGGGTGAGACGCTTTGTTCTTCATATTCATGAGCAATTTACTTCGAAGTACATGTCATTTCTACATGTACATGATTATTGTTAGATTGACAGCATGAAACAAGACAGCTGACGAGCTGAGAGAAGGATGCCATAGGCAGAAGTTGGAAGAAAAGAAGTTTTTATACAAGTTGAGGTTTACGTGCCGGTGGCTACATGACTACCAGGACGACATAAAGGAAAGAGCAAAGAATACTTACACGACGGATATCAGGAGCAGTCTCCTACCCCCCCCCCCCCCCCCTAGCATAATGAGGGTCAGAACCGGGTTCAACACCCATATGCCAATGGTTCAAATGGTCCGCAGGGACCGGGGCTCTGCCAGCCGCGGAAGGTTGTAGTAAGGTCGCTGTTTCCGAACACAGTGTCCTCCACCTTGTTTCATGCTGTCAATCTAACAATATGCGTGAACTATAACAAGGTTTATCAAAATACCAGTGTTAGGATAATACCATGTACAGTAGGTATCGGTTATAGCGTGGGTGTTTAAAAAACGACTTTCTGTTCTTATTTCCGATATTTCTTACACACGAAAAATCAAGCGTGGCATATCATAATGCATGTGCGCAGGGGCAGGAAGATCATCGTACATGCAACGCAGTAGTACCAGTACTTCATGTGGCTGGTCATAGTCCCATAGGCTTACCATGTGGCTATGCAAAATGAGTTACATGACCACAACAGTTGAATCTGCAGCACTACGACGCAACGAGAGTTACATCAGAACGGAAATGGACAGATGTTATTACTACTTTGTACTAATCTGGCATGTTTCGCTACACAAACTGTCCATTCTTAGGACCGATGTACAGTCAGTATCGCCTATAGCGTTGGTGTTTGATTTTGAGCATTTTATCACTATAAGCGATATATTACTATGACCGATACTGCATGCAATGTATGCGAGTGGGGTGTCAAACGACTCAGCGCGCCGTGCACATACGCACTACATAAATGTACAATGTCATGTAGCTGGCTGTAGCTCCTGACACACAAAATCAGGATTTCCTCATGATGGAGGCATATTTTGGCAACTTGTACAAGCAAAACTCACCAAACAACACTCACTGGACAAGTTCTTCACGAAGAAGTAACACCCTGTTCTCCTCTGACATCGCTTGATTTCACATCAATCACTATAACCGATGCAAAAATAGTGTAATAAACGTCTTTTGAAATATGAATTTGATCACTATAGGCGATATATTACTATAGACGATTATTACTATACGCGATAACTGTGTACACTTAGTTATGGCAAATGAAAATGAATTAGAGAAATTGATCACTATATCCGGTATATTACTATAGCCGCCAACCTTATAGGCGATACGGACTGTATTCTTCTATGGGATAACATTGCTTGTAAGAATAAATGTGCACTTGAAATCCATGTTATGATTATGAAAACATGAGAGTTCATTCTTGTAGGCAGTATATTCTTTTACACGACCACGCTATAACCGATACGCACTGTACATGATTGTACCGAGTGCAAGAGCACTAGCATTGATAAATCACTGTGTATTCACTGCACTGGAAATAACATTGATATGGTTAAGAAGAACTCCCGTTACTGCAAATACCATCTGTCCCTTGGTGTTCGTCCTAAAGAGGTTTGCCTGACTTTCAAGATACACTGTCGGCATATATTATAAGCCTGGTCACAGTTTAGTAGAAGCCTAGTCCTGACATCGCCGTCTACAGCCCGAGAATAAGCCTGGCTTTAATACGTGACCCTACGGTATGCGAAATCCTTCGAAATGGCAAAACTGTTCCTGTCCCGATGCCTCATACTAAAGTACATGATTGTACTCTGCATGACTGTATGCTTCTGTGCCGCACGGCGCTTTTGCACTCGTTTCACACATGTACGCCAGTGTATGGTCAGACAGCCAACGCTGGCTCTGAATTTTGGAAGTCACGAGCATACCACCACGTCCTGTTCTGAATGAAGCAGGTCAACACATTGACATGCCATTCTGGGAATCACTCAGCACCAATAGGCAATACACAACATTTCTGTTCATGTCAGTAATATTATCACATTGGTCTTGCCTACCGACTATAGTACATATATGATAGAACATGCCTCAAACTACAGTCTTACTTCGCATTTTCAACAGGTGAATGCAAGGACAGCACAGGGAATATACATGCAGTTAAAATCTTCAAAATTGTGGCATCATAAATAGCAGGCAGGCGCAAGATATCATCAGCAGAAGAGAAGCATCCATACATCTAGCTGCAGGAAGGCCCGGCAGCACAACGGAAATGAGGAACACATGAAACTTGCTTCAAAATAGAGGCGGACAAAACATAGCGGTGACAGCTTCAACAAAAGAAACGGGTTAGGTTAGTGCTTGGTATTATTTCAACTACAGCGATAAGATGATAACTGAAGGAAAACAGCTACAATATAGCCAAGGGGGCTAGAAGTTAGCAGAAAGTTAAAAAGATTTTTCCATTGGTAAACAAGACACATCACGAGGCACAAAGGAGAAAGAACGAGAGCACGGGACTGCACCGCAAAGTATGGTGCGGACACAAGTCCCATATGAGAATATTTTTTAGTCTGGTAGTTCGTAGGCGAGACCAGCACTTGAAGTAAAGGAGACCGAGGAAACTGAAGTAAAGAAGACCTTACTTACTACAACAGGACGACAATGGACAGAGTAACTGGATACGGTAAGGTAGAATAAATATCAGAAGGGCAGCATACCGTCAGCGGTGATTTGACTAAGGCGTAACTTGTAGTGAGGACTGCACAGAGACATTGCCATGTGGGCACACGGTAATGACTGGAACTTGGCCAGGACTCTACCCGGTGTAATCTGCAGCGTGGCGCCAAAATCCTTCAGAGAACGCAGTGCTTGCGATGTGCGCTCCACAGACTGCTCAATGTGCGCCGGCAGGTCATAGACTTCCAGGACGATCGCTGCAAGAATGACGAACAAGAGAAAGCGACAGAGAGGGAGAGTGGAAATATTGAGCAAGAGTAACAGTTAACTTACAATTTCGTAGTAGCAGGTGTAAATGCAAATGTACATGCTATCTCTTTCAATCTGGTAGCCCAACAACATACCTGTAGATACATGTAGTTACATGCCAAGACAAGATCTTAGTACATTTCGTGTGAGCTTGTCAGGAAGCCAACAGCAGGGTAAGAAGAATGTATGTGGCAAATTGCACGTGGATCACACTCCCCAATCCCATCAAAGCCAAGATTTACTTACTTCTGGCATTGTCTTGGGAATCTAGCTTGTTCGACATTCCAGACAAGTTAGAGACAAGAACCGGTGGCAACTGAGGTGCACCTGACGAAGATGTACTTGCGTTTTTGGACTCAGACAGTGGGAGGGAAGGAAGGTCCATGATGTCTTTGAGGAATTCCAGGTCCTCCTCGATGCTCATCGGACGACCCATAGCAATGGAAAAGGCAGTCGGCTGGCACTTCTCTTCCACCGGACTGGTTTCGGGCAGTGTAGGAGAAGACGATTGGTCGGAGAAGTGCTGTTGGAGAAAGTCAATGGGAGAGGTAGCAACAATCTCACGTTTGCAAGATTCCGCGTGTGTACTGACCTCCTCCACTGTGCTGTTATCACAGGTAAGCTGACTGTCCTCCAACGGCGCGTTAACATCAAAGCCTTGGTCACCTTCCGTCTCAGCTGTATTCTCACCAGAGCACTCGGAATCTGATTTATTACTGTGTGCTGCAGGCTGTACAGATTGTGTTGCTGACTCAGTTGCAACGCTAGTGTCTGAGCTTTGCAGGTTGGCCGCAATCTGCACTTCAGCCTCTTCCAGAGAGCAGGTATTAGTCTCCGGCAGTGTGCTTTGTACTGTGGTGTCCTGCTGTTGCTGGTCTGCAATCAGTATTGACTTCTGGACTTGGGGCAATTCTGCTTCATCGCACACTGATGGCTTTTCCACCTGCTGTTTCCGCTGCTCCTCTTCCGCTTCACTTCGCTGGGCAGTTGGAGGAGCAGGTGCCGACTTGCGTTGCTGTTGCTTCTGCTTCGATTTTTGTTTCGTCTTCTTAACGGAATGCTGTGGCTCCCACCACTGCTGTACCTGTGCTGGCTGTGACGGCTTATCCTTTTTCTTACGTCGCTGCGACTGTCCATTCTGCTGCGCACTATCGGCACAAGAATTAGCATCAATTTGGCTTGATGGCTCTGATTCATCTTGGCTGGTTGCGCCTACCTGCTCTGCTTGAGTGCTCTCACAGATGCTCTCGGATGGTTGCTCTTGTTCTTCATGTGCTGCCTGCTGCTGCTGCGCCGATACTGGTGCAACATGCTCTGGCTCTGCGGGAATACCTTGCTGCTGCTGCGGCTGCTGTTGGGCTTGCTGTAATAGTTGCTGTTGATACAAGAAATGTTGTGCCAGGAGCTGTTGCTGCAATAGCAGTTGTTGCTGCTGTTGCTGCTGCTGCTGCTGCTGCTGAAGCAACAACCACTGGTTGATAGTCAGCTGTTGAGAAGTAAAATCACCCTCTAAAAGTGTTGGCTGCTGCTGCTGCACATATTGGAGATCCTGTTGACCCTGCTGCTGAACAGGATACTGCTGGCTCAACAATAACTGCTCCAGCAACTGCTCTGCCGACAGTTGCTGGTGTTGTGGGAGCTGCTGAGGCTGAATCGGCTGGCTTTGTAACTGATTTTGCATCTGCTGTTGATGCGGCACCTGTTGGACCTGATTGGGCAACAGTTGTTGTTGGTGTTGAGACTGCCCAGTATCCTGGACCTGATCAGAATCTGACGGCTGTTGTGGTTGTTCCACTGGCTGTGCAGCCGGTAACTGTTGGGATACTGCTTGCGGCACTACAACTTGCTGATGTTGAGGTTGTTGCTGTGGCTGCTGCTCCTGCAGTTCTTTCTGTGCTGATTGCTGTGCCTGCTGCTCCAGTGGTGTCGGTAGCTGCTGTGGCTGTGCTGGCTGCTGCTGCTGCTCCAGTGGTGATGGTAGCTGCTGTGACTGTGCTTGCTGCTGCTGCTCCAGTGGTGTTGGTAGCTGCTGAGGCTGTGCCTGTTGCTGCAGTAGGGACGGCTGCTGATGTGGCTGAGACTGCTGCAGCAGCAGCTGTATTGGCTGCTGCAGCAGCTCTGGTTGTTGCACCTGCTGTTGCTGCAATAGTTGCTGTTGCTGCTGTTGTTGCAAATAGAACGCTTGAAAGTATGCTTGATAGTGTTGGTTGTAGAGGAGCTGTTGCTGGTTCGCTTGCTGTGCCTGGTACTGCAGTAGATACGCTTGTTGTTGTTGCTGCTGCTGCTGCTGCTGGTCGTACTGGCCATTAGGGATATCTCCTGCAACATAAGTGTCATCTTGAGCAACGAGCGAGGGATCAGACGCACATATGGGCATGGCATCGGGAATCACGGCTGAATTAACTAGCTGGTCTTGATTGCCGAGCCCAGCATCAGCTCCCATCGCTGGATCCCAGCTGTCAGATGATACGAAACCAGGCTGTGAGTTGTCGATATAGTACTCACCAGCAGCCGCCTCATGCTCACAGTCAGCAGCGGGAATGTCAGCCTGCCAGTTGCAGTCTGCAACCTGTGGTGCAAGATGAGTCGAGGCGCCGTATGGAGAGTTGTACGTTACTGCAGCTAACATGTGCCCTCCCTGTTGACATGAACCACTAGTTGCATGCTGATCATCCACTTGTCCAGATGGCAGATAATAGTCAGCCTGAACTGGAGTCTGATATGCACCCATAGCATTCATGTCGCCTCCTTGCACATGGCTGTAGTCGTAGAAGTCGCCGCTTCCGGCAAATTGGTTCTCATCTACAGCCAACTGGCAAAACTGCTCACCCAGAGCCTCGTCATAAATCTCGTCAGCGCCGCCGTTATAATTCACATTGTGTGGCGCGTACATCGGGCTCTGCAGTGAGCCGGGGATGCTGGGGAACTCCTCTGCATAATCAGGCTGTGCCTGCAGCAACAACGACAACGCCCAACACCACACAATGCGTCAGGAAAATGAATTGGGGTCTCCAAACAATGCACACGCACCCAAGGAAAACCGAGTCAACAGACTCACTGGATTCAGCTGCATGCAATCACACTTGTGAGAATGGGAACAGAGGTTTAGCTACTAGTAAAGCAAAAACCGAGTGATACCGCACTGTAAAACCACTCTATAACCAGGCGCTGCATTTTCTGAAATTGCGGTGCATCCAGTGATTACAGATGAAACCCCGGGATTCGGCATGTCGTGTCAAGGAATTGAGACAAGGCTGGGAACCATTGCATCAAAAGTCAATAACCCTGGGGATTGTGGACTCTAGATAGTGGTCGAAGGAGACATGACTTACGATAGGCAAACTACTGGCACGTGACACAGTCTTCTTCAGTTGCTTGTGGCGTGGAGCAACGTTGGGTCTTTTACGGAACGCGCCCCGCTCTGAATTCCTAGAACGCAATGTGGAAATATGTTGAGAGAAGCAATTCATCAATTAACAGTGGGAGACAAGACATTTTCTTGAACCTACAATGCATGCATGTACTGCAAGGACTCTCTGTGCTTGGAGGTGGCTGTACCCAGAACTACACTGTTACTTTACCATCAATCAAGAGAAGATAAACTGAGACACGGATACATGTAACTAGTGCATACACAGCACTGTTCAGCGTTATTGCCACATAGTACGTTATGACAATTGTGTTCAGTCACTGCCTTGTGTGCAGGCTTTACCCTCGCCACACCCATCTCCACCTTTTTTTTTTTAAATTATTCTTTTTACCATGTATTATACTCAACATCATAGTTATAAACCATTATCAAATTACCGTATGTCCGCACCTTTAAAGCCATTGAGGTACATTCGATTATACAGCCAGTCTCAGTTAACCCGACTACTGCATGGACGATAAGTGCTGCGAATAGTGATCATGCACCCTGGCCTGAGTAGCTCGCTTGGCTAATTGAAAGTCTGCCGACCTGGGCCACATTATGTTGCTAATACATGCACAACCCCAGTCACAGCGCACAAGTTGGTTGAGTTTGGCCGTCAGGAGGCCAGCGCAAGGTATCCGGGGCGCGGGTCTGATTCCAGCGAGGGGCAATGTGGTACCCCGCAGCGCAAGGGTAGCGTGATACCCTAAGCCAACGTGCGCGCTGCATGAGTAGCGTGATACTCGCTGAGCGCTTTTGCTGTTGCCTAGCAACGCGTTTCTGTCTTTCCTGGGTCCCCAAATGCATGTTGGGTGGCCCTGCGCATGACTGCATGTTGTCATAGCAACCTTGGAAACCTCAAGCCGGTTACCAACAAGCTAGGAATCAGACCAAGCCGCCGAATGCCCCCGCCGGCCCGCGGCGCTTCATTGCAATTGAATTGATATTTGTCCAGAATAGTGAGCTAGGACAGATCAAGAGGCGTGGGTGGGAGGGAGAAATTGCAAAACAGTTGGATGCACGCAGCAGCACAGCTAGCAAGAGAAAGAGCCGTGGATGGGTTTGTTCCTGTTTTTGATGGCTGTGGCCATCCGTTGGCCCAACGGTCTCGTGTGAGTACGGTGTTTGTTTGTGCTGCCAGCTCGCGCCCGGCATTTGTTTGCGCTGGCAGCTCGGGCCCGGTGCGCGAGTGAAACCGAACCGTGACAAAGGCTTTCGCTCTTTAGTGCTATTGACTGGCTTTTCATACGATGCCTATTGATGTCTAGAGACATGCTGTCTAGCCTTCCCCTAGTACGCATTCACGGGGCTTTGTTGAAGTTCGTGCCGTGAACTGCCAAAGGGAATTGTTTGAATGGTGCTGGGGCGAGTGCGACATTACGGCGTCCCTGCAGCCGGCCTAATCGCGTTTGTCGCCACAACCGATTATATAAAGCCATGGGCTTCATAAACGAAATGACATTTGAAGTATGTTTTGTAAAAAAATAAGGAATAAGAATTATACTAACTATCTTACAGCCCAGCAGGAAGAGTGAACAAGTGGATTTAGATTGATATTTCTGTGTGGACTTTGACTTTTATGGCATGACGTAGTGGGTGAGTCATTTTGCATCTAAAATAGCTAGGAACGCAGCGGTGTTTTGAATATAAGGCCATGGCTTTAAAGGCGCTGACATACGGTAACAGTACTTCAATCTATCCGGCAAGAGCAAACCTGTGGATGGACCTAATGAATCCGCTGACTTGAATGCGGCAATGCTTTATAATGCATACGGCATGTCACCTTTCAAACATACCCCGTTACCTCAAGTTTAAGGAGGCTCCAACCCTTTGGGGGTGATTTTTTTTCTTCATAAACCCTCTCCTTTTTGTGGATGAGTGTGCTCTATATCATCCCATGTTACTTCACAAAAAAATTCAGGGGGTGTTTCCGCAGAGATAAGGCTGTTTGAGGTGTATTTCTAGGGGTGGGTGTATTTATCGATTTCAGCCTAAATTTGCTTGTTTTGGGGTCATATTTCAGATTTACCAGTTGTCTGGCTTCTCTTTGTGATTGCAAGTCCTTTCACACATCACAGTGAAGCATTTGAGCAAGAAAATCTGGCAATCAGCATTGACTACTCAGAAAAATAGTAATTTTGGTACAAAAATGAACTTCGCAGAAATGCCCGTCCGCAAAGTACAATTGGGTGCACAGCTTCATATTTTCTTCATGGACATGCCCTTTTTATTTTATTTTTGGGATCCTCATACTTCATAGAAACTAGAAATATATAATTTTAGGGGGGTTACCGTGCATTTTAGACCTCCAAAAATAAAAATAGGACCGAAAATTGGCCGATTTTCCACCATTCTTGGAATTGCTATTTTTCAGGTAAGGTGATCATTCTATGCATTCCTTGTGGTATTACTCCAATTTTTTGTGTCAAAAGCATTGAATGGTCCCCCAGATTGTTATAGTATACATGGAGACTAGATGAGGCCATGGTTCCTGGGCTTTTTAGCCCTTGATCTGGATATCGGCATGATCCTTGCACAACGTTATTCATGATCCAGGCCGAGGCCTACTGACCCTGAGCACAGTTCAGACCAGCTTTGCATCACAACTCTTGCAATAGTTTACTCCTAGTATTTCTCATAAAGCAACAGGCAAAGAGCTTGAGGAGGATAACAATTATTATTATATTCTGGGGGGGGGGGGGGGGCAGTTTCATGTTTGTAGTACATGTACAATGACTATGTAGATGCAGGTTCAACTCAATATTGGCAATGAACGACTGCTAGTAATCAGTGTAGCATCCATTAGGTATAATCATACACTATTCCAAATAACATGGAACAACCACAAGTGTATGTGGGTGCATGCGCATTGCACACATTGATACATACATGTACGCTTACATGCACATGCTCACAAACAAGTACCCCTTGCACACACAAATACACGTACGTCATATACGCGCACCCGCAATAGCATACACCCACATGCAAAATGCATGCTCTTGAGCTTAGTTACCATATTCTGCTGTCCATGCACTTGTGCACGCGTGCGCGCGCACACACAACATGCACTGCGCGCGCGCGCGCACACACAAACAACATTTAGGCTCACACGCGTGCCTGCGTATGTGCATGCACATAGTGCTTATGGGTAGAGGTGCATGCATTCATCATAATAGAACTGGTGCGAGTAGTGTAGGAATATTTTCAAATCACTGGTGCTGTACAACACAACATTTACAAAATACTTCACACACTGACAATAGAGAATAGTACTGCAAAACAACATACTCAATTTTCAGTGCTGTATTTTATTCAAGTGGACGCAGGTGATGACTTACTGCTGGCGACGTTGGCAGCTGACAGGTCACAGCTTTCGTAAATAGTCCAAGTCACTGAGCAGTAGCTCACCAACGATTTACCACTCACTCAAGACTGCAATGTTTTCAGCGTAGGAATATATTTCGCCACTTGAGAATTAGAAGTGGATCCACTTACCAGAGTCTGTGCACCCACTTCAGTCTCTCTCTCCAAAACGCGCTTACAGTAGGTTTTGGTCCCTGGTGTTACACAGCCATCGAGACGCTTGGCTCCGTTCTCCTTGTTCATTTTTTCGTCAAGCAAAATTATTCAGGATCTCGAGAAATCGAGCTGTAAAGTCAACTTCTTGCTCACACCAGCGATGCTTTTGAAAACATGCCCTGATACCCACTGACACAACGGAGGAAAAAACAACAGGAACCTCGATGGGGCCCAGGGAAGACTACAGGTGAAGAATGAAACAATATTCTCTGATAAGACTGTCGATCGCGGAGTTCAAATTTTAGTAAGTTGAGATGGGAATTTCCCAACTTTTCGCACTTATCGGCAAAAACAAGACTTTTGCCTGCAAAAAACAGAGCGCCAGACCGGCTGCGCAGCGCAGAAGGTTGGAGCCTCCTTAACAGAGGGTTGCTAATCATGGTACTAGTATTACCACCCACTATTTAGTTTATGTAGAGACCATCGCGTCAAATGGGAACAAAGTGCAACCTCAGAGCAAGAGAATCTGGCAAAAATGCAAAAGAGCAAACACACGAACCAACCTTCTTCCATTCCCGTTCTTGAACTTCTTCTGGTCTTTGCTAGCGCCAGGGGAAGGAAATCCAGAATGATCTTGACTGTGAAAGATGCGCGCCCGTTTCGCTACGTAGTCTGCTTGCCGTTCTTCAATAGACCGAAACCTAGGTTCCTGTGGGCCGTCGGCGGCCGAAAATAAAGGAGAATTTAGACTGCTTTCAGAACTCTCCTCAGTCTCCGAAGAAGCGCCGCGCCTAAGCACAATCACTCGCTTGCTACCAGTGGGCTGGATTTCTGCTGCGAGTTCGGCAAAGCTCTGAGGTAGGGCATGTATCTGGGACTGCTTGCTAACGACAACACACTTGCCACTTTGTCCAACACAATGATCCAGGCCAAAGAACGTTGCAACCCGATGGATAAGCATCCGGTGGTAGGACGTCATTTGAGGAAAGGTCAGTGAGGAAAGCTCTGCATCTTGGCTGAAACTAACCAACTGTTGCTCAATTTCCAGAAGCCAGTCACGATCCCTGAGCACCAACATAAAATATACCAGAGACGTACGCATATGAGTAACTCTTCTTAGTAACCAAGATGACAGCTAACATACTAATGATGGTAAGAGTATAAGTACATAACACTCCAGAGTCTGCAGCTCTGATCAATGCACATGGATAAGTTCACAAACCTCTTAGCATGTGCCCAAAGTGACCATAGCCAAGACCAGTTTGGCACAAGTTGAATTCCAGGGTGAATTTCTTTGTATGGGTCCACAATATCTTGAAAATAAAGCTTGCTCCTTTTACGGGAAACACATCATGAAATATGCCAGTTTGGGAAGCCAGTTTCTTTTATGGATGATTTCTTTGGACACAACCTGCACACACACAACACTTTGTGCGCGGCCGTCGTCAGCCTCCCACGGCCACAGGTTGGCATACGAAGAATAATGCAATTTACAAGAACCACAACCACATGTCATCCAAATTCGGCAAAAAATCTTCAAAAGGCGGTGAAGAAATGTAGCTACACCAGCCAAATGCAGGAACCTGGAACAGGAACTCATTCAGGCACTCACTGGCATCCATTAATGTAATGCACCTTGTGTGCATGTACTGACAATCATCCCCTGTCTTTTTTGGTCCACGTATAGATAATCAGTACTAGATCTGCGGTCATGGATCACAAACACATGCATATAGTGACCCTTCTTAATCAAATACAGTCCATTCAATAATGCACAAATAGACACATTCTGCTAAAACATACTTTGAGTTGGACAGTGTATCCACGATGAACTGGGGAAGATTCACAGCGAAGCTAGCAGCATCACACATATCATGCCTCCGGTCAGTTGAGCCGGTGTTCACAGCTGATTCCTGCAGGATAATAGAAATTAGAAAGGCCATGAAATACGATCAACCTTACAGGGCTGTTATACCATACAGTGAGAACATTTAAATGCCAATGGAAATGAAACATGGTACAGCAATAAGCAGAGAGTGGTATAAGATGGCATTCCCAAATGCCTCTCTACAGTAGAAACATGTATCTCCCATAACAGGAAACAGATCCCCATAAGATACAATACATTTTCTGAGGTCAGGGTCGCACCTGAGGATAAGCCGCACTCTGTATTGGCGACAAAATGTCACAACCCAGTTTGCAATCATTTCAATTTAGTCGTATGGAACGAATATTCAGCGCAAAACCAGGGGCACGATTTTATCCAGGTTTGTTGTGTAAAACTGTATTAGAACATGCAGTGGCTTTGACCCAGGAAATACAATGCTGTGAAGAACCCAGAGTGCACTAGCATAATAACAAGATTGGGGAGCTTTGTCAGCAACCATAAATTGCAAATTATGCCAATAAATTTCCTATAAAAAGTAGCCGCTATGTTGGTTCCTTTCACCAGTAAAATCGATGGAAGAAAAGCGTTCGAGCACAAGGCTGGCCTGCGAAACTTTTAGTAAATACTATAGTGCATTCGCCAATTCCGGGCCCCTGATACACTAAAACTACATGTATGTGTACCATTTTGACGAACTTTCCATGATGGCCCAGGATCGAGCAGCTTGGAGAGGCACCCGGTATAGCGCGTGTGCGGGAGATCTCTAGCCGAGGAACAGCAGCGGAACCATGTGTTGCACGATACTAACAGCTATTATTTGTATTTTGTTAGGGGCCGTCCAAGGTTACCAATAATATTTTCAAAACGAAATGTTTTCGTTTGTGGGTGAGTGGGTTTGATGGAGTTTCGTTTTGAAAATAATTATTGAATGCTGATGGAGAATGCCCAGTTACTTCCGGGTGTCGAAAATTGACATCAATATTTTATTGGAATTCGTTTTACCTGCAGTAAAGGTGGGGGGGGGGGGGCTGAAAAATACTAAAACTTTTCGTTTTGTAAAAACAATCGGTAACAATTATGTGTCCGAAAAATACTTTTTTCACGCATCTTGATCAATTTTCACCACATTCACTTCATCTTCGGCTTGAAACATTGACTTCGGAATCTTCTGTCCATGCTGCGATAACATTCCTCTGAGTATTCAGGTCTACTCGCTGGCATGCCGCTACCCTGTGCATAGCAGCCCCCTCTCTCCCCCCCCCCCCCCCCCTTCCTAATCTGTACTCTCTTGTACCATCATCCTTCAATGTGACGGACCCCATAATAGGCGGTCAGCCTTTGGGTCATCCTAATAAAGTTATTATTATTATTATTATTAAAACAACGGCTATCATCTTTCTGACCTATATACCGTAAAGTCTTGTATAAAAGCCGCACTTGAATAGAAGCCGCAATTTTGGGCCAATAAAAATACACATAAGCCTGGTTTTAGTGTTGACATACATAGAAATACCTGTCTTGTATAGAAGCCTGTCTCATACAGAAGCCTGCAAAATTTCACCAAGAAAGTCATAGAAGCCGCGGCTTTTATACAAGACTTTACGGTAAGTCATCGACTTTACCATCTTGAATAAGAATGAAGTGAGACTGTGAAAACGTATGGGCCCGGAATTGGCGAATGCACTATAACGAACCGTGATTGGAACAAACAATTATTCGCTCGAATACCAATGGGACGTAAGCATCCATTTCCCGTCGTTAGGTTTTGCGAGGCAAGTCCACTACAACTGCACACACTGTGATATAAGCTAGCTCTGCTTAAAAGGTCATGAACTTTGTAAGGTCATACTCATAAAATGTGCTAGAATGGGTTGTACCTGCCAAAAATGGGCAGCTTGCACCGCAAAAAGGTGACGGCCATCTTCGATGCATACTGTAAACAGCTAATTTTAGCGGGTAAAAACTTAGCGTTTTCTGAAGCTGGACCAATTCGCGATGAAATATTTTAGCGATCCTAGTCTGTATACAATTGCGGAAACTGGATCACGATCCCCGCCGACCAGATCACTCCGATCGGACAGACACAATCGAATGTGCACAACTGATAATCCGTTTCAAGACTTAAGCAATCGCGTTGCTACCGCTTATCCCATACTACTCCATGGTACCTGTACGCATTATGGTGAACTCTTGACCTAGTGTACGCAGATTTGGAGTTTGTAGTAGATACGATGCAATGGAATCCGTCGAATCCGGCTCTATGAGGTGGGTTGACTGGATCCGAATCCGTGGGACTGGGATCCGGACTCATACAATCGAACATGTACGAATTAGGCGAATCCGGGCCTGGGGCCCATGGATTCGCACAATCGAACATGGCCCTAGTTTCAGAGTTTACAAAGAAGAATGCTTAGTACTGTATTGTACATGCAAAACCTCAATTGGCACAGCAAAACTTTCGTGAAAACACTCCTTTCGCTAAAATTGCTAAAATTAGCTGTTTTACCGTACCTCCCATTCAACAAACAAGCAAATACACAGGCCATGAAGGCAAGACAACTAACCTGACTAGAACTTTCTGGTGCCCTACTGCGCTCGGAGTGTTCGCACGCATTGGGTGAAGTTACTTCCGTTGCATTGGTGGCCGCTCCTTCCGTTTTAGGCGATTTGGGACGAACTAGGAGGCGAAATCGGGGCCTTTCTGCATCCGAGGCCTGTGCAACATCGTGCATTCATTTAGATGAGCACAAGAAAAAGAATTGAATGCACAACTAATGGCCATGCAATAGTACATTACAAAAACAAGGTATGTTTCAAGATCAAGTTTATGAAAGTGTAGAAGTACATGTACAGTACAAGTTTGTTTAGCTACACAAGTATTAGTTTGGCGAACAGAACTATCTGGCTGGGTAAAGGGACCGAGTGACAGTGCACTGGGTGTGCAGTACACAATGCCCAATGGCGCTTACTGCAAACCAGCTGCAACTGATTGTCTTTGGGATGGCAAGGGGAAGCAGATGCGAAAGAGGGTTGGAGAAGCAAGGCCAGACTGTACGGGAACACCAGTGCCGGCGGGGTTTGTGACATACCTCACTAGGCGGTGATGCCTGTGCACCACATGTTGGCATAGAAGCTGATGCCAGTGAACCACCAAATGCTTGCTGGAGGGTCGGCGAGTCTGGACTTGAAGAGCATGACGAAGATGAATCAGACAGAGGAGGACTGGATGCCGAGATTCCTTCAATGCCGGGACTGGATGACGAACTGGTAGATCTAGAATCCGACGCAAAGCTTGAGTCGGCCGAACACTCGCCAATACTCGAGCTGCTGCCAACTGCCGAGTCGTGAGAGTTGGCATTAACTGTAGAGTCAGTGCTCCTAGACTGAGATGACTCCTGTGACGCCTGTGAGCACAGGTCCGGAGATGAACGGCGTTCAACTGCAGCCGGTGCTGCCATATGTGCATGGGCTGACTCACTTTGACTTGCCGCCGTCTCTACAGTCATACTGAAGCCTCAAGCTGCATGTCCATAACACATGTTACAGCAAAGCACAACATAACAATGACGACTACCACACCAAAAGTGACACCACCGCTGCTGCCACCGCCACCACCACAGTAGCAGCTATTGCTACCTCAGTAGAACTTCACAACACAATGCACAGTATGTACATGTACACGGTAGACTATGTCAGTCTATTCACACACTTGTACAATCAGGTATGCTAACGCACATCGTGTGAAACGTGGCCAGTTTTAAATTCTATCTATCATCGGAAGTGAGGCTGGACGATTACTGCAGCTTCATTTCAATAAAGCTATGCAACTAGAGATGTGGTCGTCAGCCGGACAATGTGTGATACTTAAATCATAGTACATTGTTGTAGTTGGTCAAACCACTATTAGAAACATACAACGCAAATATCAAACTGAAGCCGAACATCTTTACCTCCACACCGAGTACAGTTACAGCGGTACACCTGAACACCTCAAATAAAGGTACTGTGATACAAAAAATCTTTTGAAAATCACCGATGGTCTCCGAGGAAAAGGGGGTTGAAATGTGCCACACTTGGGTCGACATACTAGGTCGATCATCAAGGCATCTATCCAAAATCTCTATTTCCAACTTTACTTCATTAGATCGAGGGGTGAAGAAAGAAAAACTTCATTTTAGAGTTTTTTTGAAGTAATGATAAGCAGTACTGACGGGACACGTGTAGAAGAAATCTTCCCATATCCGAAACTAACTTACTTCTTCAAAGTGAGTATGGCCTCCTTTGAGCATGAAGACAACTGGAGACCAACTGTTACTTGCCAGAACTTCCCAACAAAACGCACAAACTCGACAGTACAAACCATGCAGTTCATCAGCATGGCGTTGGAAGCTTGGCGAAAGGGGTGCAACTGTGAAGTGAGTGTTGTGCAACACCGACCAAAAAGTTACTTTGGCTTGTTCGGTTGCGTAACCACGTGGTGTTGCACGCGAGGCCCGAGGCTTGAGCCACGTGCGAGCAGCGAGCAGCGACTCAAAGAGTCAATATTTTACTACAACATGTACATCAAAAGTTTTTTTTAGTATTATAATTAAAATTATTTTGTTTATGCAAAGCGCAAGCCTCGATATTGGCAGTCGACTAGTCGGCTAGTCGCCGGACGCGATACGTCTGAAGCGGGATTCACAGAAGCTTTTTTGCGATGCGACACGCGATGCGACGCGATCTGCGATGGATGCGTGCGATGCGAACTCGCGAAATACCATTCACAGAAGAAGTCAGCGATGCGACAAAGTTGGGTACGTCACCATGATATTCGCGCGGTTTGACACAACTTGTAAAAATTTATAGGCAACTCTTGCATATTTGTACAACTTTGCTGTAGAAAAGGTCAAAATCGTACACCAAATCGCTTGTCGCATCGCATCGCATCGCAAAAGTTGAGCCAAGCTCAACTTCTGCGATGGCCTGCGATGGCCCAGTTGCGGCAGTTGCGTGGGGTGCGACATGGCTGCGATTTGGGGTTTTCCCGGTTTCGCGTCTGTCGCATCGCGTGTCGCATCGCAAAAAACCTTCTGTGAAGCCCGATAAGCCCGATTCACAATACAACTTTCTGCGACGCGACACGCGATTTGCGACAGTTGCGACAAGAAACTGCCTGTCGCGAGCTGTCGCAACCTGTCGCAAGCTGTCGCAATGCACATGTCGCAGAAGTTGAAGAAAGTTCAACTTTTGCGACATGCGACACGCGACATACACAAATGGAGTACAGTTTCGACCCTGGGTGCACGTGCAGTGCCCGTGCATAGTACTACTTGTGCATGAGGATGTCGCAAACATGAAGAATATTGTGAACCGTGTGTCTCTGTCGCAGCTCGTCGCATGTGTCGCAAGTCGCATGTCGCGTCGCAGAAAGTTGTATTGTGAATCGGCCTTTACGAGTAGATCTACGTACAAAAAAAATGTAGTGCTAGTAGCATTACCATTGGCATTGTAGTAGTAGTAGTAGTAGTAGAATTTATTATTTTGATAGGGAAGGCCCTACAGACGTTGCCGTCTTGTAACCCCATGGTAGTAGCAAGAGTACAATGACCCCGGGCCGGGGGTTATCATGGTTATCATAGTTCGTAGCTAGATCTTCGAAGATCTACGGCCAGCATGCTAGCACTAGCAGCATGATCGCCATCGGGAGTCATCAGACCGTTTTTTATACTCGTAGTAGTCGTAGAGTCTACTCCCGGCCTGATCTGCTGAGTAGATATCTACGCCTCACAATATCTCACGTCATTATTTTTTTGTCGCCTTGGAGGATTTCGCAGATCCTCACTTTTTGTTGACGTGACGAGTGGTTGCCCTGGCTGGCGCATGGCAGTCCGAAACTGGCGAAAGGGAAGCGAGTCGCTATGCACTCGATCGTAGATGCAACTCTCCTTGTTACCAGCGAAGTCAAACGGAAGGCTGAAGAGTGAAGACCTGATGATCCCCAGTGATTATTCCGGCGTGACAGACAGACAGACAGACAGTGTACGTGTAGTCTACGTGTGAGCATGATTTAGGCAAGCCAACAGGCAACACCATCTCTGTCAATTCCCCATTTCGAAATATCGCGCAGATTTGTCGCAGTAGAAACGCCTGGTGGTGTTCGTTCGGTCTTCACAAAACTCCTTAGCTCAGAAGTCAGATCGGCTGCACAAGAGCTGACAACAGTTCAAGAAAGATCCGAGAGAGTCGTCTAGCGCTATCAAGTACTTCTATCACTAGTAGATCTACCAGAACCGTTCACGTAGTAGATCTTTGCAGTCGTGGTGTTCAAGATGAGCTGGCAGACCTACGTCGACTCTAGCCTGATGCAGTCCAAAGCAGTAGCGGCTGCATCTATTCACGGTTTGGACGGCACGGCTTGGGCAAGATCGCCTGGATTCAGCGTAAGTACTACTTGTACTGCTCTGCTCGCGCAATGTCTAGGTCTACGCGGTGATCATGGTGGTAACGATCCGGATCGTAGATCTCTACTGTTTCTAAAAGGCGTCGGGAGCATAGCGAGTGCATCCATGCCACACATACATGTACGTCGTTTCAAGGGCTTCCGTTCAACATGGTTCACGGTTCAGCGAATCTCAAGACATCAGTCACGCAATGAACCAACGCCACGGCGTGTTTTCAAAAAGACAGTCGTTTGCATGAATTGTGTTTGTTTTCACACAATAAGCACAGCTAGCTGCACTGGTAGATATTAATAATATACGCGCATCAAACAACGCAGGCTGCTGTCGCACAACGTGAAATCCGACCCAAAGTACAAAGCTGCAAGCTAGCTAGCGCCCAATGGCCAGTTCATTACATCATTATGATGTTTACTTGTACGGTTCGATGGACTTCTCGTGTGCTCTGGATGGGTGTGCTCTGGATGGCAGGCGTGAGTCAGTCAAGTAAGAATTCAAGTCAGCAGGAAAACCGAGAGCTCCCATGTAGGGAGCAACACATAATTTCCCAAGTATCGCCAAAGTCGCACCAACCTTTTCTTTATTTGTGGATCTACATTAATTTTGAATGTCCAGCAGCATTCGTGCCCCTAGGCCCTAACCAGAGCGTCAAGGACCCTGCAAGGCCAGGGCGCAAATATGCCGTTTGTGTCAGATCTCACCTGGCATTACAGAACGAATAGTTACAATCCAAAATTATCAAGTATTCAGTAATCTACAGTGGAAACACTGTTCTTCTACAACTCCTGCAATCACCATTCGTTCGACTCAGCCCCAGGCTATGCTGCGGGGTCTTAGTGTCAGGCGTGTGGTGGCTAGTCTTAAAGAACGGCGGTTCTCTCACACTCTCAGAGTGCCTCCGTCTTTTTTCTTTTCTTATCCCAGACTCTGGGCCAGAGGCCTATTGAACAAGTCTAACTGTTCTGTCCTCTGAGGTCTGTCTCGTTGTGTGTGTGCGCCATCATGCGGCTAGTTTCTGCCAGGCTCCTGCAGTCTTCACTGCAGCTTCATATACCTGACCTTCTTCATCTAGCTCCTGGTCATGGGCCTCTTTAAAGTTGGAGCCAGGATGCCGCAAAGCTCTGAAGGTTATCCTAAAGCCCCCCCCCCCCCCCCCCCCCCCCCTCTGTCTGGACAACATAGCCAGGGAAGTGAAACCAGGCTATGAAAGCGAGGGTAATGTGGCCAGGACAGTGCAGTCAGGGTAACATAGCCAGGGAAGTGAAGCCAGGGCAGTGGTTGGGGTAACATAGCCTGGGTAATGTAGTTGCAATAGACCCTTTGCACAATAAGCGAGAGGGGTCGAGACGGGGCATGCTGTGCACGCGCTGCACACTTGGCATGCAACCAGCATGCATGGTTTGCCGCAGGACGTGATCAAGTTTCCTGTGACAGGCTGTGTTTTCACGGTCCCGACGCGATGTTCATGTATGTACTCCCCAGCCTTTTTTCATTTGAAGTTTTTTTAGTTTTGAAGGAAGAAGTTTCGAAATGCTTTCCAAGGACCACTGCTGGGTTCTTGTTTGCACCAACCGTCATCCCTAACGTTAGTCTAAGGAACCCACTTGTCTTTCCATGCGTTCCCTGGTGATGCTGGCATTCCGCACTCTGGAATCCTGGCTATCTGGCGAGAAGAGGGCCGCAGTGCTGCGATATCGTTCACAGTGTTGTGCTCGGAACACTTTGTCCATGACGACTTTCATCCTTGCTTTTGCTAAGATAATGAACGCCCTGCCAAGAGACTCTGGAGCTTGAGAAAAAGGCATGACCCATCCCTGTCTTCGCTATTGGAAGATCGACTGCTTGCTGGCGCTGCTCGAGCTGCTGATGTTGAAGTGGAGAGAGACGCAGCCTCATCGCTCAGGTGTGCGGAGAAAGTCATCTGAGTTCGAGCTGTGGCTGCGTGCACGATATGACCGACTTTCACATTATGCACATAGCCACCAAAGTAAAACTCATGGACACTATCCACGGGCTTGTTCACTAGTACTACTCCATCAGCTCCCTCTTCACTGTCGTCGGCGACTTGCCCCTGCGTTGGAGACAAGCACGCATGGTGTGGCACTCACTCTGGGAAACAGAGGTTCATCACTCATCCACTGGGAGTCGGACGCATGAAATGTTGGGCATGATGAAGGTACACTCGAGGAAGTGGTGCCCTTCTTAGTTCTAGGAGCGTCAGGGTTCTGCATAGAGAAGTGTGTGTGTGTTCTCTACATGGACAGAGGAGAGAAGGTAGAGAAGCGAAACATATTTCAATCTGCAGTACAGTAATCCGAAATATCCACTGAATGCGGAAAAACTTACCGCTCCAACGACTCCTTCTTTTTCCAGACAGATACGCACCCTCATTCAGCAGAAAACTGTTCAGTTCCTTCACAGATCATTCTTCATTTGACAGTTCGTCCACGGGTTCCACAGCCATCGATGGCAAACCACTCGACACTCTCTCCTCCATCTCCAAAATGGAAAAATACAGTGTTCCACCATGCTCAACAACTGATACTCTGCACAAAAATCGAAGAGGATGCCCCGTCTCGGATCACGTGACCGTTATTGTGCAAAGGGTCTATTGTAGGGTAGAATAGACCCGCATTGTCCAAGATGATACATGAAGGATAGCCGCCGGTACATTTCACATGACATAATATCATGTGAAGAGTCGTCACCACCTGCAAAGACGTCCCATCGACCAGCAGCTATCAATTACAGGGCCATCTGGGGAGTGGACCATCATCTCATGGATGATTGGGCACCGTTGGGTGAAAGATGCCCATTTTGACAATGTCCCAGAGACATAGTGATACCTCTCTTGGCTTTGTGTTTCAGGCTTTTCTTCTTCTTTTTCTTAGGGGGGATGTGCACCATCGCAGGATGGGCTTCAAGTCAAAGGGCACCTAGATTGCAGCTATGAATATGTTGCGATGCTATGTTGGCCCATATAACTTAGGCTACAAAACCCCGGCATGCTTACGTGTCTTGGTTCTATATTCTGGTTGCTAAGTACGCTAGAAATCCCAAACGGAACTTTCGTGTAGATGGTGGGTGGGTTGCGATTCTTTCAATGTTTCGCACAGGTAATACTTGGAGTACTAATTTTAGGCTGACCCGCACATGGTCAGTCATGTACAACTCATAGTATGTCGTGGAAGCATCTCTATCTCTCTCCCTCTTTCTCTCTCTCTCTCTCTCTCTCTCTCTCTCTCTCTCCCTCTCCCTCTCCCTCTCCCTCTCTCTCTCTCTCTCTCTCTCTCTCTCTCTCTCTCTCTCTCTCTCTCTCTCCCTCTCTCTCTCTCTCTCTCTCTCTCTCTCTCTCTCTCTCTCTCTCTCTCTCTCTCTCTCTCTCCCTCTCTCTTTCTCTCTCTCTCTCTCTCTCTCTCTCTCTTCTGTTAATCGTGTTTTTATGTCATTGCAGAGTACACCTGAGGAAGTCACGAAAATCCTCTCGAACATGGCCAAGGAGAGCCCAATGGACTTTTACAGCCATGGCGTGACAGTCAACGGTGTGAAGTACACGTTTGTAAAAAAAGGAGAGCACACAATATATGGCAGAGGCAAGGAAAACAGTGGCGTCTGTATATGCACAACGGTGAGTTCAGGATTGAAACCGTTTCTGGCCCAGTCTGTTCAGTAGCATTTCATACATGCAGCTCAGGACTTCTATAAAATAATTTTAAACAAATTAGATGTTTTGAACAACAAATGTGCACCCGCACTTGGAATTGCCGTTGGAGGAGCCATTCTGTGCATGGAAGCATAGTGACATGTGTTTAGTAGCCATTCTGTGCATGGAAGCATAGTGACATGTGTTTAGTAGCCATTATGTGCATGGAAGCATAGTGACATGTGTATTCTGTGCATGGAAGTGTAGTGACATGTGTTTTAGTGTGCTGAAGACAGAAGATCATTTAGCCTCTCAAGTTTTTTATTTTATTTATTTCCAAGCCGCATGGCTGGGGTAGCCAATGACCACTTTGCGTGGCGATTGCAGGGTTTTTATAGCCAACCACAGCTATATATAACTGGTAGTTGAATCACAAGCTGCTTTCGACAGCTAGCGTGTTTAGGCATCCTGTCTAACCTGCAGGCCTCCGAGTGACTGGCCAAACAGGTATTTGCTTGCTAGAAATGTACTGTCACTGTTGACGATTCACCGTTGAACCCTCTCTCCCGGCTGCGTGCTTCTTGTTTGCCATGTGCATACCCTGCAGAACAAGTGCGTTGTTGTCGCTGTCTACTCAAATGGAATGCAGCCGGGGTCCTGCAACGCTGTTGTCGAGAAGCTGGGAGACTTCCTGCGCGAGGCAAACTACTAGACGTCGCGTTCTGCATGGGTTTAGCAAAGTTTCACATCTCTGTCAAGATTGCTGAGTACAAAGGCGGAGCCAATCCCACAACCTGTCAGTGGCCACTTGCCAAGTTAGGCCCTATCAATTTGTGGCTAGTCATGATGATTATTTTCCAATTGCTAGTAACATTCCTAATGTAGTCTGTTTCTGGTGACCAATAAACCCTGCATAATGCCGCACTAGTAATGACAAACTGTAACTCTTTGACCTATCTACAATTGTACCTGATGGGGCTTTTCCTACCCCCTGTACCCCCCCCCCCCGCCCTGAAGATTCTTCCCAGTATTGTAAATTCTCCTCTATCTACACAATCATATGATCAGTCCTCGGTTTTAGGATGACAAAAGGTGTGTATATAATATTTTTGAATAATTATGCCCCGCCGGTGGCTGCTGAACAGCATCTACACTATATTCTAAAAACAAGTGTGCAACAGTTACTATTGAAGTACTCGATGAAGACCTGTTGTATATGTTTGGGTATGTGTGACCAACTTACAGGTTCAAACAGGCCTGGCGGTCACCCACAGCCAACTTGTGCGGCTTGATTGTTATTTCCGCAACTGCCATGTCTGCCCAGGCGCTTCCTTTGAAACACTACACTTCATATTACATAGTCCAACATGGTGTGCCCCGTAGAATTGAAAATATACTCGAAATTGCTATGCTTGAAAGCAACTACGCTTATCTCAAAAAGTCAAAATTAAAAAAATACTCACAATTGGCCTATGCTGAAGCAATGATAGAACAATCTAGTCACTGCCTTACAGAGAGACATAAAGCTATGCTCTGGTTATCAAGGTATTAAAATAACATACACATATTATACTAAATTCTGCACTAAGGTGCCAGCCATGGGTGCATGGCACAATATTCTTGAAGTATCACTTTGACCAGGTAGAGCATAGACCGTGAGCTATCATGTATCGCCAAATTCGCCACAGCATGTATAACGTTATAGCCTACACGACCTTGTTCAAAACGTACTCGTACAGAAAGCCCGGAGCAGTTGCCGAGATGACCTTTTTACCAGCATCCCTGGTAAACACGACATAGAAATCATCCGAGCCACTGCTCTCTGCAGCACAATAGTGCGGTGTGTAGCGATCTGTTAGCTGCAGACATTCAAACACACACACACACACACACACACACACACACACACACACACACACACACACACACACACATACATGTACTATGTAGTATGCACATGGTCTCATCTGATCTCAATGATCGGCAATGACAATGTAAACAAACCAATCTACGGATTGATCCGTCACCGGTCCCACTGGTGGTGTGGTTTACTGAAATACAGTATTATGACCAGGATGAGGTGTTTGACAAGTTTAGCCCCACTTACACTCCTCATGACTGTACTCATTACACACTTGTATCCTAATTTTAAAACCACTGCAGTGGACGATGGGCCTTGATCTGAGTGCTTGAAATGAATATTGATTTTGAATACAACGTACGCCCTAAAGCGCTAACTAGACCAGCGGGAGGCAAACCTGTAAAAACAACTCAATGCACAGCTGCATACAGTGAACAGTGGTGAAAGCTGCGTGTAAAGTACCCCAGATATAAAATACTACTTTAACATTATTATGCTCTTTGGTTTGGAATCATAACTTTTTTGGATGCGGCCGCAGTACAGTCGTCCCTCTCTAATCCCGGGCACCTTTTGCAACGGCATTTTCTGCCGGATAAACAAGGGTGGTGGATTATCAAATCCTGCCCTCCAGCCCGGCTCACCTACATGTAGTAACGTACATGTTTGTGTCGTACGTCAAAATGTAGGGATTTTCTGTGTCAATCCAAGTACTTTGTCACAAGTTTGTGGAATGCATGTCTGTAACATGCCATGTCTATAACATACACTTGGGAATATCCTATGCACTGGCATAGGATATTGGCACCGGTACGGTATGCGATGTACAACTGCTGGATTAGAAAATCAAATTATGTACAGTTTGAGTGATTTGTTGCAGAAAATCGCTGCCGGAGGCGGAATTCAAGTGCCGGATTAAAGCGTAGAAAATGAACTGAAAAAATCCGTTTTGCCAATCCGTTTTGCCACGTGCCAAGTGTGCTGGTTTGCAAGGGTGCTGGATAAACAAGTGCCGGATTAGAGAGGGACGACTGTATATACTTTTCCAGTTGTATGGCCTTGAAGATATAGAGTCCCTTGGAGGTACTGTCCACTGAACTGTTTCAGTGTACTGACTAAATAACAAGATGTTACTAATAACGAGAGAGCTCGGAAGCTCAGGGCCCTACGCTATGCTTTTTTGCCTTGATGACCAAGGCAAAAAAACATAGTAAATTTTTCATTTCTCCTATTTTTTTCAAGATTATAGCCTGGGATTCGAACCCGCACTATCGCCCTGCATGCATCCCCGATACACTTCGCATACATACTAATTCTTCCAAGTTGCTTCACGTTATGATCTTGCATTTGAAAGCCCTATTTGAATATTGTGGCCAGCTGTTTGTGACCAGCCGTCTTTGATGGTACGGTACGGTACGGGACAGGTACGGTCGAGGGTAATACGACGCCGTCTACCACCTTGATAACCTAGGCAAAAAAGCATAGGGATGCTATAAATTTTTCAAAGTCTCCTATTTTTTTTCAAGGCATAACCTGGGATTCGAACCCGCACAATCACCCTACACGCATTACCCGATACACTTCGCATTCATACTCATTCTTCCAAGTTGCTTCACGTTATGATCTTGCATTTGAAAGGCCTTTTTGAATATTGTGGTCAGCTGTTTGTGGCCAGCTGTCTTTGATGGTACGGTACGGTACGGGACAGATACGGGATAGCGCCAGACGGAGGTCTGCCCGCCACAAACACCAAACGAGAGAGCTTGGAAGCTCAGGGCCCTACGCTATGCTTTTTTGCCTTGATGACCTAGACAAAAAAAGCATAGGGATGTTATAAATTCTTTAAAAGAATCCTTTTTTAAGACATAAACTGAGATTCGAACCCGCACTATCGCGCGCCCTGCATGCATCCCCCGATACACTTCGCCTAATACTAATTCTTCCAAGTTGCTTCACGTTATGATCTTGCATTTGAAAGCCCTATTTGAATATGCATTGTGGCCAGCCGTCTTTGATGGTACGGTATGGTACGGGATAGGTACGGGACAGGTACGATCGAG